GACTTCTAAGATTCTTTGTGCGCCTTGCTGATTTGGTTCGATTATTTTCGAGAATTAACTGTGTCTCACGGCGAACACTCTTTGGGAGGGGGATGTTTGTGGTAAAATATCATGTGTGAGTGTACTGACCTGACAGAGGCAACAATTCATCCCTATTTTTCATTGGTTGCTGTTAGCCATCACCTATTACTAGAGCGAATTCAGCCGTACACGAAGACACGCTTGGCTGGCGTGATGTTAATAGACTGCTGTGGCCGTTGCCACCTCACTTGTCCTTCTTCTCAGGTTGTTGCGGACTGTTAACAAGCAGGGCTGCAAGATAGTGCAAACAAAACACTAAAAACTTAGCCATAAAACGAGAGTGGTCTGTACTTCAAACCCAATTACGTGGTGGGGCATTTTTACCAAATGGCATCTCTAATGCGGTCGTGCATTGCCTCTTAAAATATGTTAAACGACAGTCGCGAAACAGCTTCTGAACTGGCAGGGCTGCTTTCAAATGAATGATTACTCATGCACGGGAGCTGGCACGACATTTTGTGGGAAATTGTGGCTGCTTGTGGTGCCTTTTCGTGATGCGTGTGTGCCTGATCACGTAGTTGCATGAGGCGCGCGAGCGTTATTGCTATCCCACAATGCAACGCCCATTTTAACGACACAACTGTTAATGCTATTCACGGGTGTTTGACGGGTGCGACAGTTGCCAAAGATGGGCAAATAATTGGCATGCTAATTTAGCCGCGTTTCCAACGCCTTTGGCTAAATTGGGTAGCACAAAGCACACTAACACAGACAGGACAAGGGTGCGATTTTTTGAATAGGGAAGGACAATTTGCTTATGATAAATTCCCCTAGACGGAAAGTTGTTTATTTGAACACAATTCATTAAAACCTTTCCGGCTATCCATTTAAGCTCCCCGTGTTTCCGGTGTACACTTCCGCCAAGCGATTAAAATATGAGAATAAGCATTCTGCAGTCGTAGTTTGTGGTTACTACATAATTTTTATTTTTCATTACCATACAAAGATGCTGGTTAAAACGACGCCACGTCCAATTAAACTCATGTTTATTTGTTTAATGAAAATAATGTGTGCGTCACGGTTAGCTGGCCAAGGTCATCCACCTAGCACGTAGCCAATGAGAATAGAGTGTGTGATCTACCTGAATATCGATCGGAGGTGGACTTGGATTTGCCACGACAATGTGATTACTTTAACAAATGATGCAATTTTTCGTTGACTTTACAAGTTCGTTGCTAATTGTCTTTTACTGAATGTCCGGAAGATCAAACGCGCTAAAGAGCGCTGACTTCAAAATGGGCCGCGATTCATTAATTTTAGTTCCGTTGTTTACCAAGGGTTTCAAGTTTTGAAAATACCCCGTGGTCAAAGACCACTAATCTGTTTACCTCAAGTTGGATTGACCCTCAGAAAATGTCAAATTTTGGACAACGCATAGTCATTTTCAATGAAAGGAAGTTCTGAACCCTTTGACATTTCACCTTCATCAAACTTTGCTTAAAACTCGTTCGATCGATTCTTCTTTTTAAGATATTTGAGCAGAAAAATTAGACAGCATCTTTCTGTTTAGATGCACCTGAATTTGAGCCACCGCATAAATTTAGTTAATTTAAACAAACGCGACCTGTATCGGTTATGCTTTCTTGCAAAATGCGTATTACGCAAGTCTCGTTCTCTCATACTAGGCTAAAAATCTGATTTTATTAACATTTAATGTGGTGCCATAAACTTATTTTCCAAACACTTTAGATAAATCAAAAAATGTAACTTTTGCCTTAAATTGCATTAATGTCAGTTTAGAATACATCATTTAAAGATTCATTAAGTCTAAATCTGGCAAAATCAGCAAATCAAACGCACTTTTTAGTTGCTTACAATTTACGTTCTTAGAATTTTAAATATTTCAACTTAAATATCACAAATTTTGCTCTCTGACATTGCTTAGGACTTGTTTAAAAAACATGTGTTTCTGGACATTGTAACACCTCGAATTTCTCCAGACATTTCAAGGTTTTCTTTCGCGCTTCAAGGCTATCTTTCCCACCGCTGTTTTAATAAACTTAAATGTAATTTAAGCGCACCCGTGAGGCGGATTACCAGATAGTCTTGCGATTTTGCGTACAGTCGTACCGTGTTTAGGCGTCGATGTGACAATTTCTGCTTTCTACCATCAGGGCTAATGTTGACGAATCTTTAATTACAAGGCAAGCAAACCATCGGAGTTTGTTGAAGGTTGAACGGGTGATAATGGCATGGCTTCTGATCGATATGCTGGTTTTAACGAGATCTGTTCCAATTTAGCTTTGCGCAAGCCGCAACGAGCAGCAGATAAAATGAGGACGCCTATTGGTCTAAAGGAGCACTATAAAGTGTTTGAAAGGATGGTTTTGAAATTTACGAATAATCAGCGTTTAAGGAACCAGATGCCTAAAAATTTCCCTCATTTCAAAAATATGACTGGAACAAGAACGGGTGAAAGGTGGGAATGATTTCATCTCGCTCAAATTTTATTCTCTTTTAATCTCCCGCTATAATTTTATTTGGTTTTAATGTGGTAGACAAACCAAAATTTCAAATTCGTATAGCTCACCTATTTCTGGTGTCGTTTATGGCCGGTCACCTCATGTCCTGCCGGTTCACTGACCTCAAGAAACAGCAAATTATAAAAAACTACGACTTCTTCCCCTTTGCAGTGAACTACAAACTAACTGGCGCGTAATTTGACTTCTGGGGAAGTCGCATTTCAGATCATTGCGACACTCAGAGGCTTGAAGTTTGGACAAGAGAAAGGCAGAAAATGCCAGCGTGTTGATGTAGCACAAGAAGTCCCTCTCATCCTGATGACAAGTGAACCAAATCAACCAATCACACTACAGGTTGATGCTGATTTGTGCTTTTCAACGTGGAAATCAATTTCAATCGACTGGTTTAAATGAGCCAATCGGAACTAAAGGCATCTGGAACGCCTGTTTTACCTTTTAAATTATGACGTGCAGATAACTATGTGACAAGTGCAGAGTCACATCTAGGGTGGGAAAATAGGGGGGCCTTTTTAGTGTCGAAGAGTCCAGCGTTCACATATTCTACAACGAATTTAAGCTCAATCAGGTTTTGCGTTGGTGCGGAGCCAGAGACATTAATCCACAGTTTCTACTTCATGAGAACTTTCGCAAGCAACTCGGTTGTCTCATGTGACGTCATGCGAACTCATTGTAATTGAGACCCGATTCGCCAACCTGTGCGGCAAGGCTATGTTGTCACATCGTGCATAACCATGTACAAATTGAAATCTGACATGATGCACACAGCCAATTAATTACCCCTTTCTCGTCCAATTTGAACAAAATTCATATTTTAAATTGG